CACTTGCAATCACCCCGCCAGCAGGTGCAGCCTATACCTCTTCCTGCCACAACAGTCCAAGGAACAAACATAAATCCAAAATGAAGACGAGTGAACTAGAAAGGGACGAGGGAAGGTGACGTGAGTGACAAGGAGTTGCAACTGACTGAGGGGTTAAAATACTGGGGAGGTTGTGAGCTAGACAAGAGATCTGAGCAGCTAATTGATTCAAGTTGTGAGTAGTTGGAGCAGGAGGCACAGGGGAGCAGTAAATAATTCTAACACTACAGAATAACTTGGACTAAAATCTGACAAACTAGAACAGGAAATAACTAGAAACAAGAAAAAACAGTCATACCATATGAAGAAGCACATTTCAATTCAATTCAGTTTATTTATGTAGCGCCAGTTGAACACACTTCAATGCACTTTACAAATAACTAAATTTCAATCTAATTCTACATACATTTCAACTGAACCTAGATAACAAACAATGCATTCAACATTACTTTAGTGATTTAAAAAATGTTCTTAGTAAAGAAACCCAGCAGATTGCATCAAGTCATTGACTTGCAACATTTACTTCACCTGGAAGCGCATGTAGCGACGGTGGAGAGGAAAACCCCCCCTTTAACAGGAAAAACCCTCCAGCAGAACCAGAACCTGGCTCTGTACAAGTGGCTATCTACCGTGACTAATTGGAGGTTTAAGAAGACCGAGCAGAAACACAAAGAGAAATAGAAATACAGATGTAGGAGTACGAACTTTCTTTATATAATGTGTACCAAATTTTCTCCAGATTGGCTATCCCTTTTAGGTGCTTGATTTGATGCGTAAGTGTGTTTTTCAAGGAGGTGTAAAAGCAAAAATAATTTTCTGCAACTCACAGGCATAGTACCTGCTACTGGTCATGATGTTTTCATTTCATAGAACCAGGGGAAGGACTTTAGTACTTTTTTATTCCAAAAAAGGTTAAAGATTTAAATTATCCTTATTTACGTTTCATAAATTATTTTCCAGAATGTTTTTTTTAATATGTGAGGGCAACTTCTTTTTATAAAGGCCATTTACCTAGTTAAAAAATGTTCCTATGATACATATTTTATTGCAGCAAAATTAAGAAAATGTTATCTTTGTCCTCAAATCTCATTTCCATACAGTAATGATTATTACCACATTATGTTTTTGATGAGTGCTGACTGCTATTTTCATGGTAGCTGTTGACACAATGATGTATGATGTAAGGAAGTTTATTTTTTGTGCCAACTGTGGCTCTCTAACTATATCCTGTTATATCTGCTTCTCAGGCATATTTTAAGTGACATGAGACACTATTAGGAGCACACAGCTACAGACAAACAGCTCAGGCACAGTTCCGTTCATAATCTGCTTTAGCTCCCAGTAGGCAAACATATTTGTACACTTGGGGGAATACAAAAACATGAAAACACCCTAATGTCTGAAAACTGATAAATGCATGACTGTATAGGTTGACCTCTTTATTTAAATACATTTAAAGTCTTTGTGTCATACACACAGCTTCATATGCCCTGAATAACACTAACATGGGTGTGGCGTCTTGTTATTTCACTCCTCTGGTTTCTCCATTAAGTTAAAAACAGTTTTTATTTTTCCCAAGTAGGTGGAACCACATGTGTCTTAAACGAAGAAAATTATTCCAAACTGATTACTCTGAATAAATATTTGGAAACACATGACGCACACAGTTTTAGTAATAAATAAGTTGAGGTTGAGGTGAATAAAATAAGTGAAGTTGCCAGAATCCCATTATCCATGTCTTGGAACTAAAGTTTATGAAATGGAAGTCACTCAAGCTCTGTCAAAAATGGAACGTGTTTTGGCATTTAAAATCCCCAGTTTTCAATTTCCTTCCACAATGATGTTCAAAATTAATTTCTTCTACTAAACTCTGTAATCATAAATCATTTTGGGTATTTTTTTTACCACGTTATGATTTTATATCCAAAAATGGAGATATGCAGTAGAGGATGTGTTGATAAAACAATAAAATAACTATGAAAATGCTCTAAGGAAAAACAATCTACATTCTGTTTGCAACATGGTATACAGCAACCTAAGTAATAATATTATTATTATTAATAATAATCCTAATAATAGTAATAATAATTAAAGCTGCAAGCAGCATTGGAGGCCCTCGCAGCTCAGTGCTGTTCCGGCCTTATGGTAGCCAAACTGTTGTGGAAATTTTTCTTTAACAAAGAGTGAGGAAAAACTGTTTCAAGACCCAAAGAACCAGTGAAAGAATATATTCTTAATCGGTATTTATTCGAACGCCACCCACTAATAAAGGTCAATTATATCATCATAACAGTATGCAAATGGCAAGGGATTAAAATTCGCCATTCAGCCACCACATATGCTCCTGGCAGCCAGTGTTGAGAAAAGGATTTACCATCATGTTGTTCTATTTCATTAAACACATGAACTATAGGGTGAAAGGAAGAAAAACTGTCAGAATAGGTGACTTCCTGTTGAAAGGGGTGGGGCTAAGGTGATGTCACCAACTGACCATATGAATGTGATGAACTCTAGTCTGTGACGACACAAAGAGAGTTTGATGCAGCTGTCAGCTTATGTTATTCCACCTTGATATTTCATGGCAAATAGTCAGATATGAGGCTTGGCCACGCCCACATGCTTTGATGTACAAAAAAATCCTTTGATAACTTTTGGCCTTCAATACCTCAAGACTGTGCTGACTGATTTTGAAGCCTGGATCTCAAAAGCTGTAGGACGAGTTCACTCAGATATGACTTGTCTGACACAGAGAAAATGGCGTGGATTTTATCCAAAATGGCTGACTTCCTGATGTGTTTGGATCGTGGTTCCAAGAGACTTCTTCTACATTCTGTCAAGATGTATATGTGCACTGAATTTCATGACTGTCGGTCAAAGCAAGGCTTGGGTTGATTTATGAAATATTCTAGGGGACGCTGTGGAGGAATTAGGCCACGCCCCCCATTTATTTGACTGCATTCCTGTCAGGGGGGTGGACAAGGATCAATCACAGTGAGTTTGTTGCAGCTCAGCTGAAATATGTGGAATTTAGAGCCAAATAAATGACAATGGCATTCACATGGCGGCTTCACAGCGCCGCCATGGGGCCTCGCCCTCGACCGAAAATTCTTTGTGTTTTAAAGCAAGTGAGACCAGCTAGTTATGTATCTTCTGACACAAGATCATCTTAATTAGGTCAAGGGGGTCAGAGATGGAACTTTCCAAGAAAAAAAGTCACTTCCTGTTTTTAGGGGGCGGGGCTTAGATGACATCAGACTATAATAACATGGGATCATCAAACATCCAACCAACCAGGATCACTCATGCCAAGTTTCGGGCCAATTGACTTTTTTATGTGAAAGTTATAGTGTTTGTGCTAAGAGCGTCCCACTAGTTCTGATTGGACATTTTGGTCAGAACGGTGCATTAGTTTAACCAGTAATAGTAATTCAGGAAGGAGATGGAGGAGATTGACTGTTTTCACAGATTATCTGTCTCATAAACTGCTACAACATGGTGACTGTCATGTCGGGTTTTAATCGTCTGACCCACATGCAAGAACACCCACAGTACAAGGGGAATCAGTAAAGTGATATTTATTGCAAAGAATAACAGTCAGAAGGGGGAAAAACTGGTCCGGAGTGGAATTGGTGCTTCTGGGTTGGAACTGAGGGGTGAAAGCGAATGGTGAGTTCAATGACTGGAGGAAATAGCAAACTGCAGGGAAAAAACTGAATGTTCTTACTTTTAGCTGAGATGATATGGACCGAGGGGAATCTGATGGTTCCTGGGCTTGAGGTCGAGTGTTGCTGCTAAGCTTAAGGTGGCAGGGTAGCACTGGAGGGCGGACGAGGTCTGGGCGGGTTTCTTAATGGCAGGAGAGAGGAGGGCAGCGAGCGTGGAGATTTGATCACCAAGGTGAGATACAGGGACTTGGGCATCCGGTGGGTATAATCCACCGGCGTCACAAAGCACAAAGAGAGGAAAGGTTGGAGGAGGAGAGGTTTTGCGCTGGAACTCCACAAAGGGTTTCATAGCTTCTACAGTGAGAGTTCCTGTGGAGGCACAAAAAAAAAAAAATCACTAAGAGTTCACAAAAAGCAATCACTGGAGAAATTCAGGTGGCCTGTAATACTAAAACTGGCAAAAACACTCTGGCACTGGTGTAGGCTGCCTCCTCCTCTTATGCTCCTCCAAATGAGATCATGCAGTGCAGGTGATTTGTATCAGCTGGTCCACGCCCTCCAGGAATGACTGCCAGGCGCCCCCTGAAGGATGGACGGAGAAACAGCAACCCCAACAACATACAGGAAACATCCAGGAACCCAACAGTGACAGCTTTAACAAATATGGAGAAAACATATTTTTTATTAAAGTTATGTACTGCAACTTGAATAAAATGCA